GTGGTGGGTAGGTGGTAGATATGAAAATATTATGTGGGTATGGGATGGGGAAAGGGGTATCCGCACCCTCCTTGCCCGTTTACCATCCCTACAATATCAATACCAAATGAGCAGTATTGATACTCTAATAACCTGGAATCAATATTACCCTTGCAAAATACCCATATTCTATCCTACAAAGAACAATATCGATATCAGTTAATTTAGAATCGATACTTAAACCCAAAAATGCCCTGCTTTGCTCATGAGTCGCCCTCAAACTCACCCTAAACACTTGTTTTAATGCTTAAGTTAATTATTAAAACTTATGGAAGTACTTAGAGGCAATAATACAACATTTTTACACAATGTTAATGTCTAAATCTGTAATGCCCCAATTTTTCAAGTCAACGCATAGAGGTTGACCCAAAAGATATGTGAATCGTGTGGAGTTGGTAATTGAAGTTATTGGGCTGAATATTGGCCTAATTGTATTCAAATTAGGCTTGGTTGACCATAAAAAAGATATTTTTATTAGAATGCAAAAGAGGAATGACCAAAAGTGCAATTATACGATTGAAGAAAAAGAGACTAATATTTTGAGATTATGTTGGGTGTTTAGGTATGGGATTTTAGGCCATAAAATTGGACTTGTGCGTGTGTGTGCATGCGCTTGTGCCGTTTTGATTTGGTATTTTCACTATTATCAAACCACGCTCGTTGTATCCATCACTTGCCCCTTGCCCTGCCCGATCTACTACATTAATTGCATGCATGAATAAGGGAAAGTCATCGCCAACTATGCACGACTTTTCAAAGTCGTTGGTAGCGGTAGACAATGACATTGATCGATTTCTAGGCTTGTAAATTAACCGAACAAATATAAATGGGGTATGTTCATGTTCGTTCGTTTAACTTTAACTGAACAAATAAACGAACAAAAAATTTGTTGTTCGTGTTCGTTCGTTAAGAAATATAACTTGTTCGTTAATTAAGGAATGTAACTTGTTCGTGTTCGTTCATTTAAATGATAAACGTATATAAATGAAACAAACGGATATAAGCGAACATAAATGAACACAATAAATGAATATAAACAAACGTAAACAAACATAACTGAACTAAACAAACGAACATAATCACAACAACAATAATCACATAAATTTCATTAGTTGCAACTTCATAGTTAATTTGTATTAAATTGTTTGGGTTTTTTATTTATATTTAAAATTAATTAAATTTTAAAATATTAATAGATAGCATATTAAAATTTATTGAGTCTTAATATTTTAAATGGGTCTAGAGAGATTGGGCTTAACATAAATGAACGAACGTAAACGAACATAAATGAACAAACACAAACGAACATAAACGAACGGATGCAAATGAACATAATAAATGAATATAAACGAATGTAAACGAACCAAACAAACGAACATAAATGAACATAATCACAACAACAATAATCACATAAATTTCACTAGTTGCAACTTCATAGTTAATTTGTATTAAATTGTTTGGACTTTTTTTATTTGTATTTAAAATTAATTAAATTTTAAAATATTAATAGATAGCATATTAAAATTTATTGGGCCTTAATATTTTAAATGTGTCTAGAGAGATTGGATTAAACATAAATGAACGAATATAAATGAACAAAGTCAAACAAACATGAACATAAACGAACGGATGTAAACGAATGTAAACAAACATGATAAATGAACATAAACCAATGTAAACGAACATAAATGAACTATACAAACGAACATAAATGAACATAATCAAAACAACAATAATCACATAAATTTCATTAGTTGCAACTTCATAGTTAATTTGTATTAATTTGTTTGGGGTTTTTTTATTTGTATTTAAAATTAATTAAATTTTAAAATATTAATAGATAGTATATTAAAATTTATTGGGCCTTAATATTTTAAATAGGTCTAGAGAGATTGGGCTAAACATAAACGAACAAACATAAACGAATAAACACAGACGAACATAAACGAACATATTATCGAACGTTCACAAACGTAAATGAACAAACGAGCCATCTGTACGTGTTTGTTCATTTAACTAAACGAACACAAAATCGTTCATGTTCGTTTGTTTAATAAATAAATGAACATAAATGAACTTCACGCCAAACGGTTCACGAAGAATTTGTTGAACGTTCGATTCATTTACAGTCCTATTGATTTCAATAAAAAGTATCCAAGTAAAATTATCGATAAGAAAGAACGACTTCGATCTCCAACACCATCGACATGAGATGACAATTGCGACAGTCACTATAATAATAATAATAATAATAATAATAATTCCATTTCCTTAATTGATTTCGTACCATTCTCGTTTTCCTCCCTCATTTTCTTTTCAACAACATTATTTTCTTGCAACCAAGATATAGTCTATATTGATTTTGTCAAAAGTTCTTTCAATATTTAACAAAAGGTAGTTGAAGTTAAAACAATAGAAAGTAATAAAAGAAAGAAAGAAGATATACCCATTCCACAACTAAATTGAACTGAAATGAGAAATGTTCAAATTTTCGGCAACGTTTCATCGCAAGAAAATGAACAGTTTTGATTAATTAGTCCTATTCATTACATGCATTAAACAAATAAAAATTAGTTTTGTTTCTTTATGTAAACTGCCCATATGATTGATGGACCCATGAAAACCATAAAACAAAAACTCCACCCAAAGACCTTGCTTTATATATATATATATATATATATATATAATTCCTTAATTACAATGTACACCTTCCAACTATGCAATAATTAACATTTCTCAATTCCTACATTATTGACCTTTTTTTTTTGATAAGTCAGATTTTATATCCAAAGAACAATGCAGAAACAAAATTACAATCAGGGATCCAAAACAACACAAATACTTACAAAAGAATCAAAGTTATTCTATACCCCATTGATTGCATATAGAAATATTAACAGCATCAAGTCGATTGAAATTTTTTCCCCTAAGTAGCAGACAAACAATATCTTTAATGGCCTTTATGATTGTTTCTGCAGACTTAGTTCTGTTTTGGAAAACCCTCTTGTTTCTCTCTTCCCAAGTCATGTAGATGATGGCATTGAGAGTTAACTTCATGACCAACGTTAGCAAGGATTTGCCTTTCCACATTGAGCTGGCCCGTGTCATGAATACCTCCCAAGAGCAGTTCGGAAAATGTAAACCATACAATGAAAGCATAGCTCTCCAAATAGTGACAACAAAAGGGGATTTGAAAAAAAGGTGCTCCCTTGTTTCCGAAGCAGAACTACAGAGAACACAATGGTTATCATTGATGAGTCCAATTTGCAGTAGACGATCCTTTGTTGGGAGCTTATCAAGGAAAGTCATCCAAGTTATCAGGCTGTGTTTGGGAATATGTAGGGGAAACCAAACTAGTTTCTTCCATGAGACTTTTTCCTTCTTCTCTCCAATTGAGCCCCATAGTTTACTGGTTTTACTAATTGTTGGAGTAAGAACTTGTTGTGCCTCGAGTCTGAGTTGAAGGAGTTTTTTTAGGCTCCAACTTGTTGAGGATTTAATGTCCAATGACCAGAAATCTTTCTCCTTGAAAACATAGTGTTTAAGCCAAGCAACCCAAAGGGATCCATCCCTAACTAGGATGTTTTTAATAAGAGACAACATGCAAGTTTTATTCCAGGATTTCATATCCTTGATCCCGAGCCCTCCTTCAGATTTCAAGAAACATATTTGTTTCCAACTCACTCTCGCACCCGTAACAGCTTTATCAGACCCTTTCCAGAAAAATTGGGAGCAAAGTTGCTCAATTTTCTTTAAGACGGAGCTTGGCAGAAAAAGTTGTCTACACCAGAAATTAGAAATACTGGATAGCACAAATTTGATTAGCTCCAATCTTCCTGCATAACTAAGAGATTTAGAGGACCAGTGATGCAGTCTAGATTTTATGCTGTCAATTAGGACCACACAGTCCTTTTCTGATATTTTCCTAGTGAGCAGAGGAATACCTAAGTATCTCACAGGCAGAGAACCTAGGTAGAAGCCCGTAGAATGTTTGATGCTCTCTATTACTCTAGTATTCATACCAGCAGCAAAAAAATCAGTTTTAGAAGCATTAAGCTTGAGGCCAGAAATATCATAGAAGCAATCTAAGACAACAGTGACACCAAGAACAGATTCCTCATTCCCTTTGCAAAAGATGAGAAGGTCGTCAGCAAAGGATAGGTGTGTCAGACCTATCCTTTTGCATATTGGGTGGTAACCGAACACTCCTCTTTGCGCAGCCAAGTTTAGAAGCCGTGAAAGGACATTCATGGAGAGAACAAATAGTAATGGAGAGAGGGGGTCTCCTTGTCTTAAGCCCTTAGCTCCTTTGAAGTAGCCAGACAAGCTTCCATTAAAAGAAATCGAATAACTTGCTGTTGAGAAGCAAATTGAAATCCAAATTATAAAGGTCATAGAAAGCCCAATTGCCTTCAGTAAAGAAGAAATGAAGTTCCAGTTGAGTGAATCAAAAGCTTTGTGGAGATCAACTTTCAATGAGCATATGGGAGATAAGTTATTTCTGTTGTAGCCTCTAACTAATTCTTGAGCAAGAAGAGTGTTTTCGGTGATGCTCCTACCTTTAATAAAAGCGGTTTGATTGAGAGTAACCAAGTCAGGCATGAGAGTGGTAAGTCTTCTGACAATGATCTTAGATACAGCTTTATACACAACAGAGCAACATGATATTGGTCTAAAGTCCTTTACCTCGCTTGGGTTAGGGATTTTAGGAACCAATGCAATAATTGTAGTATTGAAAGCATGATAGAGATAGGAATCAGTGAAGAAATAGGAGATAGCTGCTACAACATCTCTTTCCATAATAGACCATGAGGACTTAATAAAATAAGGGGAACACCCATCAGGCCCCGTGTCTTTTTCATTACCTTTCTTCCATGACATTCAGAGAGAAATTTGCTGTAAAAAAGGACCCCAATTCCAAGAGCCCTAACTTACTTTACTTACTTCCCTTTTGGTTCTTTGGACTGCCCCTTATAACCAAATAATGACACCCTACAAACCCTTTAGTTAGAACAATTGGACAAATTTAAAGACCCCCAAACAATTTGTTTTTTCCTCTGTGGGTAATAAATAAAGAAATGGGTGAAATTTTGAATATAAAAGTGTAGTTGTTGGTTTTATGACCCAAAAGGTGCACGGTGAGGGATTCCTTTTCTTCTCCTTGCATTTGAAGGAGGTGGGGGAGGCGTGGGCAGATAAATGCCTTGTTGTGAGCCTTCACGCAATTCTTCTTCTTCCTTTGGCATCCCTTCTCTTCTTGTTCTATCCATTGGCACCTCATTCTTTGCCTCTAAGCTAAAACCTGCATTCCCATTTCTCCTTACTCCTACAAGCTAAGTTCATATTAAAAATGGAATTAAATTAAAAAAAATGAAAAATCACAACTCAATCCAAAGAAAAATCTGTACATTGAAAAATATTAAACAATGTGAAGCATGCAAGTTACTAGGCCAATTATATGATCTTATGCATTGTGATAATAATGATAGATGATGATGTTGATCAATGTAGTGGTAGCTGTGATGGTGATGCTTTATATATATATGCTTGTTGATGATAATTTATTCTTATGTGCATGAATCAAGCAACCTTAGTGGTTAAGAGATTGTTGTTATCCTTTGAGGTTCTGAGTTCGTGACATCTATAAGAGTGTATGAGCCTTCATTATCAATTGGTTGAGAATCTTTCGTATATATACTAATTAACTTGTATTGACCCAAACTAATAAAAAAATAAAACTATGTATGTGATGGATTGTGGTGAATGGTGATTGTGAAGGTAATGAAGATGATTATGAGAAGAAAGCACGAAGAATGTGAAGTAAATAGAGAAACTAAAACACAATTTACCTTACATCCCAAAGAACAAAAACGAAACGGGTCCAAGAGGCTTCTTCCACAGATTTCACAGATATGAGCAACGCCTTTCCCAGATTTCGGTTGAGGCCTCTCATTAAGAAAAAGAACCCTGGCACTGTTTATCACATAAGTTTGAACCCCACTTATATCCAACACCTTCTGAATCTCTGCAACCCTCACTACATCATGATATGAAGATCTCCTTATCTGCAAAAAGAAAACCCAGACCATGGACAAGTTTTTTTATCATATATTTACCGGAAGAAGAAGAAGAAAGATGTTGATTTTCATACACTGAGTTTACCTGAATCACTTGATGATCTTTGTGTTTAAAAGAGCGGCAATAGAAGCAAAATGCTTGTCCTTTACAGTCTAAACAATACATGTTACATTCGCCCCTAGCCGCATCTCCATGTGTTCTGCAAACTGTGAAAAAGGCTGTGCTTAGCAGTGACTCTAGCCAAGGAGGCACCGGCATTTTCGTCTATCTCCAGAAAACAAACGTAAAATAAAAAATAATAATGAGTCCAAGAAACGAAGAACAAGAAAGAAAGAAAGAAGAGATATTCGTCATTTACGGTAATGGCATTACCATCGTTAATCAAAGCACTGCAATGGATGAGAAAATTTTTGAGATCAAAAGGCAATGAAAGAGAAAGAAAGAAGAAGCTTAGAATTCAACCAACAAAGCAAGCGGCCGAACTAAGGGGCAAGGCTCATAAACAAAGGCAGGGAAGTTTCGACGGCGGAGATTAATGGTGGTGGCTGAAGTTTATCCGCAGCCGTCGGATGAATGGAAAGGATGGCTTTGGCGCTTACACTACTTTTGGTTCTTTCTTTTGCGTCTTTACGTAGGCTCGGCACATCGAGCCTTCAATTGAATATTAGCTGTTCACACAAGTTGATCACCACCTAAATTTGTGCCACGCGTGCAGCCTTCCACGTGGCTTAATCAACACGTCCTGTTTTAAATAAGAGGGTCCCATTGTTTTTTTAAGATTCTTTTTGTTTTGATTATTTTTTAGATTATATATCTTTTCATAAAATTGAGAGAGAATGCCCAATGATGAATGCCTTTTTCATAAATTGTAAAGAATTCAGAAAGCAACTATGGATTTTCTATCATTATTTCTTCCTAAACTTTTTAAATAAATTATCAAACAGATTTATTATGTAAATTTAATTATAGAAAGAGGCTCTCCACCCTCCCCTTTTCTTTTCTTTTTTCTTTATAGTTTATATCATTTTTAATGATTAAATCAATTTTCTATTTGATTTTATTTAACTGGTGACGATACCAGCTTTGATGTTGGTTGCCGCTGGTTATTTTTTTCTCTTTATTTATGTTCTAGTTTTTAATAAAAATAATTTTATTTTTGTGACACGTAACATTTATAGCAAATTTACTTATGTCTTTGTGACACATTTTTCTCTACCTTTTGGTAGTTTTCAGTTGTTTAGTCGTTTTCATTTATCTTTTATCTCAGGGTTGGATTTGATATCGCCATGATTGATCAAGATAACGCTTATTTGTTATCATGTTGATATTCCCTGTTTTGGATCATTAGATTGATTTAGATAGATGTTTAGTGTTCGTGGATAGTTTTATCACATCATTTGACTCTGATTTGCAATTTGTCAGTGGTATTTTAGTAGCTTCACCCCTTTTGTGATTTGTTTGCTAATGCAGTCATAGTTTTTTCGTATCTTTATTTTATTCGAGTTTTTTAGTTATTTTTTTTAACATTTTCTTTCTTTGGTCCTTGTGTGATGTAGGTGGCTAGTTTTTGTTCTAATTGTTAGAGAAAAATGTCATAATTATATTTTAATTTACGATTATGCTTGTAAATCTTAATTGTAATTCTGAAAATTTTCTATTTTTAATAAAATTAGAGACTTTATGTCAAAAGAATTATAGAACTAGGCTCTAAAATTTCATATTTACTATCAGGAATCAAATGAAGCCTGAAAATAATAAATATTAATATTTAATTTCTTTCTAGTATTGATCTTATTTAGTACAATTAAATAGAAGAGTAAATTACGTGATTAATATCTAAATTATCAATTTCAATTCATTTTAGTAATTAAACTTTCTTTTTTTCAGAATCATACTTAAAATTTAGTTTTTGTTTCATTTAAGTACCTTTGTTCAAAATTTAACTTTAAGTTTTGAATTTTTTTAAAAGTTTAAGTAACAAAACAGACAAAAATTGATAGTTTAGGTACTAAACACGTTTAGTTTTTAACAACGTGACACTAAAATGAAACAAAAACTAAATATTAGATATAGTTTTGAAAAATAAAAATAAAAATTTAGGCACTAATACGGATCAAAACTGATAATTTAAGTATTAAATGCATAGTATACCCTAAATAGAATGTCAAGTTGTTTATAGGGATGGTAGTATGACCCGAACCCGACAGGGAAACCCGAAACCCGGTCAAGTTCGGGTCGGGTTGAATGATATCGGGTCGGATATCGGGGATTTTTTTCGGGGATCTTTTTGGGTCGGGTTCGGGTTCGGGGCAAGGTATCCCCGCCCCGACCCGGCCCGATTATATATATATATATAATATTTTATATTTTTTATATATTATATAATATTTCATATTTTTTATATTAATTATATATAAAATATTTTCGGGTTCAGATTCGGGTATAATATTTCGGGTCGGGTTCGGAGACGGGACGCCCCGATAAAAAATCCGTCGGGGATTAGGTCGGGCGAGCAAAACCCGCCCCGAACCCGACCCGTTGCCATTCCTAGTTGTTTAATATATATATGTATGTAAATAGTTGTTGGCTTGGGCGGCAACACAGTGGTAGCTTCTGGGTTTCTTTCAGCACTAAACATATATTACAAGGAATCTTCGAGGATTTATAATTAAATGATTCATGTTTATGCGATTAATAAGGTATAAACAATTAGAAAATGACATATTAAAAGGAGATTCATAATTATAATGTGTAATGCCGACCACTATAGGCCTCGGAATCCAAATTAATTTATCTACTGAAATAATATCTTTAATTTTTACCCACTTACTTTTAATAAATAAAATTTTTCAAATTAATAATTTCAGTGAAAAAAAATGATATTATTTTAGGATCGGAGTCCGTCTGGTTACGTCTTTGTGTGTGCTATCAATAAGTTAAGAATTCCGAAACGATATTATTTTATAACCACCTCGATTATTCAAATAAATAAATAAAAATTATGTGACCAAAGAAAGGTTAGATTTTTAGCATATTTTGTGGCAACAAAAACATGTTGAGAAGAAGGGTTTGAGGAAAACAACACTTTATATTTTGCTATAAGAAGAAAAAAAAAAGTAGGTATGGGTTATGATGGGGAATTATGTGGTAAAATGTGATGCCTAAACAAAGTAGTTATTGTGAAGGAAATGAGGAAAGGGAAATGTGGTCTCAAGGGCTTTTTTTTAATGGGCATTGTTAATGTGGTATGTGTAGGAATCAAGGTTGGCAAAATGGGAATGGCAAGCTCTTTTTAGTTGTGAACCATCATTTTAATGCTGCATGTTATCTTCCAATCATATAACAGTCCATGTTACCCTCGGCATCTAGAGCTAAATCAAAAGAAATAAATAGTTATAACATGGGGTGCCATATGAATCCACATGCCATGCCTCTACTTTTTAATGTTTTGTTCATTCATTTGGTTTCAAACTCTAAATGCAAATACCAAAAGATTATTGTCAAATATATATTTAAGCTGATGACCTTCCAACGACCATGAGAGTGACTGATTTTGACACTTAAACTCCATAAGCTAAGTAATCCCTCGGTATATATTGGAGGCGAGTAAAGTTAGATTAGACTAAAAAATTCGATTTGAATTGACCCAGTTCGTAATTTTATAAATTCGACTTGAAATTTTCTTAAACCCAAGTCGAGTCATGAAATAAGGATTCGAATATTTTGGTATTCTTTGTATGGGGAGGGTTGCTGCCTCTTCCAAATATTTTGGTATAATAACATTTTAAGTACTTTTTATTTTAAATATTAATCAAATAAGTCATTTTCTCCTCCCGATTTTTTGATTTAAATATTTAATAGACCCTTGTCGCTCCCAATGTTTGGTCCAAGCTTCATCCTTAGTCTCCAATAAATTTTAAATCGATTGTCTATAACAATCAAATCAATCATTGCATATTTACAATGAAAGCCCAAACAATGGTTCAAATTGTCCAAATAAAGGTTGGAAATCAACATTCAATATTAAATAATTGATAGTTATCTTTAAGTAGTTATTAAAAAAAAACATATGAGTGCACAGTACATATCCACAAATATTCAATAAATAAGGGAGAAATAGATAGTATAAAAACTATCACCAAACACTTTTCCTTTCTCATGTGGGATTACATTGCATTCTTAGGATTTCTAATATTCCCCTTAAATGCACAAAAATTTTAAAAATTGATTAAAGAAAAAAATAAATTGAAAAGTGAAAAGAGCAATAACAAAATCAATCACTTAAGTATTAATTAACACATCTCAAATTAGTACATAGTGAAATGAGTGGTTTTTCTCTTAAGCAAGTGAACGACTTAATAACTTATTAAGATAGGAGTAAACTCATGACAAACAATTAATTTCATTCATCCACTGAAATCCATAATAAATAAACAAAATAACCATAATTTCTAAAGATGTTAGTAAATCACTACAGCAAAATTGTACATTTGCGGTGTTTTTTACCTATAGCGGCGTTTTTAAGCGCCGCAAAAAACACTTGCGGCGATATGAAAAACGCCGCAAGCAGCGTAGAAGAAAATAGCACCGATAAAGTTCACAGCGTTTGATAACAAAAAACGCCGCAATAGATGTTGAGATATAGCGGAGTTTACAAATGCCGCAATAGGTGTTAATATTTAGCCGCGTTTGTCCCTTAACGTCGCAAAATGCATACGTATATAGCGGTGTTTTTATAAACGCCTCAAAAGGTTAAGATATTTAGTGACGTCTTTCGGATACAAATGTCGTAATAGGTCTGGTATATAGCGGTTTTTTATACAAACGTCGCAAAAGGTCTTGTATATAGCGGCGTTTGTTGGATATAAACGCCGCTAAAGGCCTTGTATATAGTGGCGTTTTTCATATATAAACGTCGCGAAAGGTCTGGTATATAGTGGCATTTTTAGGATACAAACGCCGCAAAATATCTACACTTTTTATGGCATTTTATTGCGAAACGCTAGTATTGTTTGTGTTATTTAGCAGTGCTTTTTTACAAAAGCCGCTAATGAACACAGAAATGTCAACAATTTTTTTTCTCGATTACCCGAAATCTATTTTTCCAACCTGTTCCATTATCCAACAAACATATAATCAACAACACCAAACTCAATTTCCATAACAACTAACATTAAATCCATTATAATAAATAAAAGTTTACATTAACGTAATAGTAATGCAGTTAAACATTGTATGATAACATGAACAAACCCTATAACATAAAAAAGAC